GGGGCTGGTGAGATGGCTCAGTGGTGTAAAGCACCTACTTAGAACAAGCTAAGCTAAGCAAACACAGGAACTGTGGTTCAGTCCCCCAGCACCACATGCCAGCCAGCCCCGCCCCCTGGTGGGCTGAGCTGGCCACACACACACACACACACACACACACACACACACCCAAATAAATAAATAAATAAATGACCAGGCTTGGGAAGTTTCTTCTGGGAAGAAGGATTGCATTGGCTGTTGGACTCCAGAAATGTGTCTTACAACTTTGCAGAAAATTTGTCTGCATTTTGCTTGTGTCCAGAGATTTTGCTTAACACTATGGGTAGCAGATTAATTTTGCAGAAGCAATTTCAAGAAGTGTTGAGGAGTGGCATGGCAACTATTGGGTATTTTTGGTGAGATTTATGTTGAGAATTGGGGCCTGCCCTTTAGCTCAGATGTTTAAGTGGCTGCTTCAACAAAGCAGTCAGCCTCAGGTTGCTGTGGTTCGATCCCCACAACTCCAGCCAGCCAAACATGCCCTGAAGGCATTCTGAGCCAGCCCCCCACAAAAAAAAAATCCTAATGTTGAGAATTAAGAACAAAGAACCATGTGGAATTATTTAGAGCAGGGCCAGTCAGATAGCTCAGCGGATTAAAGCACCTGCTTAGGCAGATGCAGGGGCCAGGGTTTGATCCCCAGCTTGCCACTGAGACAGTGATTGAGACTAGGAGTGGTGGCAGAATCCCTATAATCCCAGTGCTTGGGAAGCTGAAAAGAAGAGGATTCCTACAAGTCCGATCTGTGTAGTGAGACTGTAAGATTCTGTACTAAATACATTTTTTAAAAAAGAGAATTATTTAAAGCATTTTGAATTTGACCAGAAAGGAGGCTCTAGTATAAAGTTGCAGCCTACAAAGACTGAACAGAGAGAAATTGGTTACTGGAAAGACTAGCAAGAAAAAGCCAGGTATGTCAAAAAGAGATAACAGAAAAGGTAGCCTGAGGACATCACAATAACCAGCAGGACTCCAGCCTTTGCAGCCTTAGCATCACAAAGGGAAAATAATTTGCTTTGAGAAGAGAGCCCAGTGCACCACGTTCTAGAATGGCAGCAGCCTAGATAATCTGTTCTCGGGATTGGGTCCAGAGTGCAGCAATCCAGGTACTCGACCCTTACAGCAGAGAGAGAAGGAAGCCTGGCTGCTGCTCTAGCTGGTGGCAGACCTCGGCATCATCCATGTGGTGCTGGTTTTAGGTGCATGGAGAATGCAAGACTTGTAGGGTGAGGAAGGTTTTCACTCAGACTTTAGGACAAGGCCCTGGAGACCAGGCATTGTGCCCCTGAGAGGGCAGTGTGTGAAGCTGTGAGTGTGAAGCCAGAAGTGTAGTGGAGACCCTGGAAATTCGGAGAAGGCAGGAATGTGGATCGAGGAAACCTGCAAGGAAGGAGAAGAGATGGCTGGCCCAAAAGAAAAGCTATGGGAGGTACGACCTGAGGCAGGGCTGTAGGTGCAGTCACTTTGGAGTTCACATTTTGCCACAGGTTGCCTTGGATGATGGATATGGAACTACAGCGCTTAATGTTTTCTCTGCTGGATTTTACACTTGATTTGGTCCCATTCCTTTGTATCTCCATTTGTAACTTTTAGAATGGAAATGTTTATCTTGTGCCTTTGAATGTTGGATGTTTTTAACTTTCTTTTCTCTTGTACAGGGCTTGCAGGTAAGTATCTCAAAGGAAACTTTGAACTTGGACTTTGTAGCAATGCTGAAACTGTTAGGACCTTGGAAACTCTTGGAGATTAACTAAATGCTGGTTATATAAAGGAATATACATTAATTTTGGGGGCCAAGAGCAGAATGTTACAGATTATATTTAGATGTCCCCCAAAAGCACCATGTAGTCATAGGTGGGGTTTTTTCAGAGGTAGCTGATTCTAAAGTGTGTGATTGATTCATGGTGCAGTGCCAGGATTAAGAGTGGGTGGGACTACCAATCAATTCACTGACTTGTTGGGCATTACCCTAATCCTCATGGCCTGGATACAATATAGGGAACAGAAAAGAGGCTTGTTTTTCCTCTCTCTTGCTTGTTTTGCTACTGTCTGCCTGCCGTGAATAGTTCTCCTCTGTGAAGCTACCCTGCCTTGGAGGACTGAAACCTCTACAAACTGATTTTTTATTTTAAAATATTTTATGTATTTATTTGATTATAGGGTCTTGCTACACAGTTTAGATTCATAGTAATCCTCTTGTCTCAGTTTCCCCAGTGCTGAGATTATAGGTGTGCACCACCACACCCAGTTTTGGGGCAGGCACTGTGCACCCAGCATTATGGGGCTGCCATGTATTTGGTACCATGGATTGAACCCAGGTCCTTGTGATTGCCAGGCAGGCACTTAGACCACATTGCTATCTCCCCAGCCCTTATAAAATGATTTAAATAAGCTTTCCCCCTTTAAGTTTGGGTGTTGGGTATTTTGTCTCAACAGTGAGAGAAAAGAAACTTAAGGTATGAGTACAGGGGCTGGTGAGATGGCTCAGTGGTCTAAAGCACCTACTGAGAACAAGCTTAGCAAACCACAGGGACCATGGTTCAATCCCCCAGCACCACATGCCAGCCAGCCCCCGTCCCCTGGTGGGCTGAGCTGGCCACACACATACACACACACACACAAATTAAAAAACAACAACAACAACAAAGATATGAGTACATCATTTTGTTTATCCAGTCATCTGTAGGTAGCTATACAGGATGTTTCTAGGATTTAGCTATTGTGAATTATAATTTGAGATTGTTGCTGTAAAGACTGATATCCAAGTATTGATGTGGTATGATGACTTGAACTCTTTGAAGGTATAGAACTCTCTATACCTAGCAAGGGTATAGCTGGGTTGCATGAAATTTTTAATTTCAGTTCTTTGAGAAATCTCTACACTGATTTCCATAATAGTTGTACTAGTTTGCATTCACACCAGCAGTGCAGGAGAATTCCTTTTTTGATGGCTGTAATTTTTAAAATGGAAAATGGTACTAACCAAGAGGTAGAAAAGTTGGAAACTTAAATCTTTCTGGTATGAATATAAAAGTGACACGACTGTTATGGTGATCCTTCATAATAGTCTGCTGATCCTTCAAAAAAGCTGAACAAGTTGAGCATGGTGGTTTATTTTGGTAATCTCACTGAGGCCCAGGCAGGACTATCACAAGATTGATCTCAGACTGGGCAGAATTGATCTCAGATTGATCTCTCTTTTAGAACCAAACATAAAAAAAAAAAGTACTGGGGCTGTAGCTCAGTGCAAAAGGCCCCAGGTTCATAAAACCATTTAACCGTAAGTATATGCCTGAAGTATTTGAAAATGCTCTTATACACCTATGTTCCTGGAAACATTATTCACAATAACTAAAAGTTGGAAACAATCCAGGTGTCCCTCAGCAGATGGATAAGCAATATGAATAAACAAAATGTGAAATATGTCCTTTTTGGAATATGATTGAGGCTTAAAGTTCTAATGTGCACCACAACATGGATGAACCTTGGAAGAGTCATGCTAGGCAAACTAAAGCGAGACAAAAGGACATGTGGGGGCTAGGGAGATAGCTCCGTGGCATAAGCACTTGCCTGGTAAGTGCAAGGTCCTGAGTTCAATCCCTAGTACCAAGGGGGTGGGTAAGGACACATGTTACAGGATTCCATGTACATGGAACATCTAGAAGGACAAATTTCTAGAGATGGAAAGTGCACCAAAGGTTACCAGGCTAGGAGAGGGGGTGGGGAATTTTTTCCTAATGGTTAGTTTCTGTTTGTAGTGACAATAAACAATTTGAAATTAATGCTGATAGTTGTACAGTATTGTGGATGTAATACCTCTGAAATGTATGCTTAACAGTGGTTAAAATGGCAAATTGTATGTTATTTATATTTTACCACTTTTTTTTTTTTTTTGTCTTTTTGATGCAGAGTCTCACTGGGCAGTCAAGAGTGGCCTTGAACTCAGTTTATAGCCAAGGCTGGTCTCAGACTTGCAGGATCCTTGTTTCAGCCCCCAGAGTGCTAGGATTACAAGCACCACCACACCTGGCTTACCACAGTTTTAAAAATTCTGTAATATACCAAGACCATCAAATTACAAACAAATAGGCCAGTTATAATATGTTGTATCTCAATAAAGCCATTAAAAAAAAACAAAGCACAATAAGGATATTGTCACACAAAAACAAAGAATTACAATAACAGACCCTCCTTATCAAGAATAGGAAACCAAACTAATGGAAATTGGGTCTGTAATCAAGGAATGGTCAATGGTAACTGTAAGATGTAAAAAAGTATGTATATATGTATGTACCTCAATATTTGAATTATTTTAAACAATTTTAAATATTTATTAGTACATGTGGTACATAATGATTATATTTATTGTGGGAAGTTGGCACATGTCTGTAACGTGTCCTAAATCTTTTAAAGATGAAAATGACTGTGTTAGTTTTCTATTTTGCTTAAATTTTCACAATGTGGCAAATTCAGAGAGCACTGTTAGCTCCCACCTGTTTAGTTCTGAAGCCTCTGAGGGGCTGAGGCCTAGGGACAGAGGTCAGTGAGCTCCTGAGACTTGAGTTCTGTTCTTCATCCTTGGGAGAATTTACTTGTGCTCACCCTTGGCAAGATTCCCTCCCCTGTCCCTCCTGCTGTGATGCCTGCCCAAACTGCTGAGCTGCTGGGACGGCTCACATCCTTGTCACCTGCACCTTGCATCCTCAAGCTGGCCGTGGGTCTTTATTTTCCTCATATACTTTAAGGTTCTGGCTTCCTTTGACCAGCAGGAGAGAACATGTTTCTTATATATATGCAGTGAGAAAGTTAGGTCAAGTTTTGTTTTTTATTTTTACTTTAAGAGAGGATGTGTAAGAACTTATGGTGCCAAATTTCATTTACTTCCAAATGAAATTTAGCAGGTATGCCATAGATTTAAGGAATGAAGTACAATTTATGTAATTCGTGTTTTTCTTCTGCAACTTTGTTTCTCAGGCCTCTCCTGTCACTTGAGAAAGTGTCCTGAAGACGAGACGGGCATGGAAACTGTGGTGCTGACATCCAGGTCCCAGGTACATTGGGCTGTTCTTGTTACCAGCTGGAAATCCCTTGTCAGAGGAACTTCAGAGATTGTCCCTCTGACACTGTTTAGGAGAGTAGAGCAATTGTTTTTCTTAATTTGTAATTGTGGTTTCACTTTCTTTATCAGTAGTGTAGGCACAGTTGGGTGGGCTCTCAAGATCCCACTGATGAATGAGTTGTGTCCTCACTGAGGTAGTTAGGCCAAAGCAAGGGATATGGTGTGTCTCACAGGCTGCCCTGACCCTTACTGTGCTGGTTGTGGTGCTGGCTGTGTGACTTCCTCTACAGGGAGCTCTGGCATGGAGGAGTGTGGGAACAACTTAGAAAGTTATCCAAGGATGACTGCAACTGAAGTAGAGCGCTCTGAGGACAGCATTAAGCGGCTGGTGACCTGGAGTTTCAAGGATGTAGACGCTGCACTTGTGCCTGTCCAGGCTCTTCTCAGGAGGCTCTTGTATGCAGTGTGGACAGGTGACCTGGGGAAACAGATGAGAGGAGAGCTAATGTTCTTGCTGTCTGCAGGGCTCAGCCCCATATCAGCATGCTTTGGGCAGCTCTTAGGTGTGTGCGCGTTGAATACCAGGAGATGTAAATAATTTTAATCTTAAGGAGAAAACTTGCTAAGGTGACATTTGTGCAGGGATATTAAGGATAACTTGTGGTTGTTCAAATCAGCATGAGAGGGGGCCCACCCATTAGCTCAGTTGTTTAAGTGCCTGCTTAAGCAAAGCACTCAGGCCCAGAATTCTGTGGTTTAATTCCTAGACCCTCATGCCCCGTTAAGGTATCCTGAGCAGGCCAAAAAAAAAAAAAAAATCCTTCAGATAAACATGAGATAACTGGATTCGCAAGGGCCTAGATTTCTGAGAGAGCAGAAATGTATGTGAAGATTTAAAGCAGCTCCAGCAGAAGAGAGGGGTGTGGGCTGCATGGGACTCCTGAGCAGGTTTGACTGACTGCAGCTCAAGTGCCGTGTTGGTGGGCTCAGTAAAGTGCCCCACAGCATACAGAGGGTGACAGGCAGCAGAAATGAAGCAAAGCTGTAACTGATAATGTCAGCAGAGACTAGGAGCTTGTAGAGCAGGCAAGCAGAGCTCTGGGAGGCAGGAGTACAAAGCGAGTGCTGCTGAGAAGTCGGGATACTGACTGAAAGTGAGTTCACAAGAAATCACCAGGCTTTGATCTGTCCTTCTCTTTTATTATGACAATTCTCAAAGATACACAAAATTGGAAAATTAGTTTGGTCTTTCAGGGTAGAAGAAGATAAGTAGTATATCTAAAATGTACTGGCAATAAGTATCTACAGTAAGTGAGCATTTTTTGCTGATCAGAATGTTCAGAATCAGCTGAGTACGTGGCACATGCCTATAATTTCAGCTACCAGAGAGGCTGAGATGGGAGGATTACAAATTCAGTGTTATCTTGGGCAACTTGGACTCTTCTCTCAAAATAAGAGCAATAAAAAGGACTGGGGATGTAGCTTAGTGGAGAGCTCCTTGCCCAGCATACAGAAGGCCTTGGGTTCATCCCACATTACCACGAAATGTAAGAAACATGAACAGACCAACTTCAAACTGCATTGTTTTGTAACTATTCATATGATGTAAAACCATAAACAAATAAATCAATAAATCACACTACTTATGATAGTTTTTCCAGGAAGAGGAGGTACATGCAACAGATTGCTAAAATACTATTGAAATTGTGATTCAGAGTATCTTCACACCATGTGTATTGTGTTGGTTTTGGTTTTTTTTTTGTTTTGTTTTGTAATTGGAATTGAACTCGGGATCTTGCACTTGCAAGGCAGGCATTGTGGCACTGAACTATCTCACTGGCCCCACTATACCCATCTTTGTCTTTCTATAAACTGATGGCAATGGATTGTGCTTTTTGCCCTTGTTGTCTTTAACATAATACTGTACTGTTCAGAGTAAATTTTATGTGTACATTGTACTTTGCAGCTAAGGAAACTAACTTTATGATGTTAAACAAAGCAAGCATTATCCAACCCCAAATTAAAAATACCCAAGTCTGAGCTGAGGCTTGTCTGGTTTCACATGTGGTTTTCAACCCCCCCCCCCTCTATCTTTCCTTTTAGTGCTACCCTTCCACCTGTGTTTCTCCTTAGGGTAATGCCAATAGCAAGAGGCCAAGATCTGGAGATGAATTACACAACACACGGGCAAGTATCTTAGGAAAAGTTAGCACCAACAAACAAGGTAATAACTCAAGGAAAGTAGCAGGCACCTTGTGATAGTGAGGTGGGGCATCATTACCTCTGGGCTGGAATGTGTGAAAACATTGATTTCTCCTCTTACAAACTGTTTTTCCACTGATATAACCTTTGTCATCAGAGGCTGTCTGCCCTTTGCCTCTCTGATTTATTTCTCCAATGGAGATTGCCAGCTGCAAATGGGAAGAAAGTTGCCAGCATGCTGGTAGTGTGCATCCCCTTAAGAATCACGGCCTCCATGAATCCAGATTCTGGTTTCAGACTGTGTGCCTGGGAATGGCAGGTAGAGAGGGACCCGGAAGGAGGAAGACATCCAGCACATTAAACCTCACAGAGCATTCCTTAAAGAACTTTGCATTGATTTTTAAACTTATATGCAGTAAAATCCTCTCCTTTTCTTGCACAATCCCGGGGACTGAATCCAGAGCCTTTACATTGAGCTATATCCCTAGCCCTTTGAATTCTTTTTGAGACAGGACCCTGCTGAGTTGCTAAGGCAGGACTCCATCTTGCAGTTCTCCTGCCTCAGCTTCCCAGAGTGCTAGGATTACAGACAGGCACCACCACAGCTGACTAAATCCTCTCATTTTGACCAATGCAAGTAGTTGTACAACCATTATTTCATTCAAGGTACGGATACATCAGCCCATCCCTTATCTGCTTCCCCTGTGTGTCAGTGCTTCCCTCTTTTGCAGCCCTTTGTAACTGGTGGTTATTCTCCATCCCTGGATTTTTTCTGTTCCAGAATGTCCTCTGAGCAGAATCCTATGGTGTACAGCCTATAGTTCTTCACATGGCATAATGTCTTTGAGATTCATCTGTTGTGCTGATCAGTAGCCTGTACTCTTTTTTTTTTTTTGGATTTGGTACAGGGGCTCACTACACAGCCTGGACCTGTAGTGGTCCCCCTATTTTCAGCTTCCCCAGCACTGGGATTACAGGTGTGCACCACCATTCCCAGTCTCGGTGGCTGGCTCAGCATACCTGGGGGTGGGGCCTGTGCAGCATATGTTGCCGGGGATCAAACCCTGGTCCCTGTGCTTGCCTAAGCAGGTGCCTAGTTTGCTGAGATATCTTGCCAGCCCTGCCTATACTTTTTATGGCTGAGTAAATTGCTATTGTGTGATGTAGCACACTTGTTTTGTGTTCTGTGTTAAGGATCTTTAGGTTCATTTTAGTGTGGGCAGCTACAGTTAAGGCCCCTTAACAGTTTTGTACACTTGCCTGTCAGTTTTGGTATGAGCATAAGTTTTCAGACTCTGAGTTGTCCTGCTGCAGTGTCCACCAAGGCTTGATCTCCAGGTTGGCCCATTTGGGAGGCAGTGGAGCCTTGAAGAGGGGAAGGCTGGTAGAAGGTCCTCGGGTCATTGCGGCTGTGCCCTTGAGGGGATTATAGGATCCTGGCCTCTTTTAAAAAATGTTTTAAATTAATTATTTAGTACAGGTCTCACTACACAGCTTAGATTCATAGTGATTCTCCTGTCTCAGCCTCCCCCGTGCTGGGATTACAGGTATGCACCACCATGCCTGGTTTCAGTGACTGGCACATTGCGCCCAGGGTATTGGGACTGGCACGGTATGTGGTACTAGGGATCAAACCTGGGTCCTTGTGCTTGCCAAGCAGGCTGTTAGACTGCCAAGCTGTCTCTCCAGCCCTCTCTTTACTTTTGGGACCCAGCCATAGGATGAATGGTGCGTCCTCTACACACTCCATGAGGTACTGTGCCATTCAGCTGACCTGACCATGGACCGAAGCCTCTAAAACTATGAGCCAAGTAAGCCTTTTTCCTTTTTAGATTATTACCTCAGGTATTTCATCATAATAACAGAAAACTGGTTAGCATGAGTCATATGGTAGAAGTCTACTTTTTTTTTTTGGTACTGGGGATTGAACTCAGGACCTTGTACTTACCAGGTAGGTGTTTATGCTACTGAGTTGTCTCTCTGGCTTAGTGAAACTATACTTAACTTTGTGAAAAATGTGCAGTATTTGTTAAGTATGAACCTACGCAATGAACCAGACCGGGTATTCTGATGTGAGTGATTTATTGGGTATAGCAAATGGGCAGGCTGTCTATCGGACCAAGACAGCAGCAAAGAAGGTAAGGCACAAGATTTTTAAGAGTAGGGAGGGTGCTTGTGATCTGGAACAGCGGAGGGAGAGCTGATCTTGGCAGGGCTACCTGGTTTGTGGTGGACTTTCGATATTAACAAAGGCATGTCTGTGGTTGCTTGCCCAGGTCAAAGTCAGGTGGACATTTTCTGTGGTTTTGGGTTTGGCTCTGTGTGGGGTCAAGGGGCAGAGAGTTTGGGGGTAGGGTGCCTGGGAGACGAAGAGGGAGAGTGTTTGGGGCAGGGTGCCTGGGAGACCAAGAGGGAGAGTGTTTGGGGCAGGGTGCCTGGGAGACTTTGCATCCTGACCTATCAGTATTTTTCAGAGTTGCTGTAGCATTTTGCATTCCCACAGTAGTGAGCATAAGTTGCACTTATTTTGCATCCTTTCAGGTGTTTGGTTTAAAAGTTTACAGATTTAGGGGCCAGGGAAATGGCTCAGTGGAATAAGTGCTTCCCTGGCAAGCACAAGGGTCTGAATTCAATCCCTGGTTCCACCAAAAAAAAAAAAACAAAAAAACCCCACAAAAACCAAAAGTTTACAGATTTAATAGGTGTCAAATCATATTTCACAGTGATATTGTTTTGTTTTTGTGAGATAAGGTCTCTTTATGCCGTTCTGGCTGACCTTGAACACACTCTGTGGCCTAGGCTGACCTCACACTTGCGTGGTCCTCCCGCCTTGGTCTCTGAAGTGCTGGAATTTAGGTCTGTGCCACTGTGCCTGGCATCTCACAGTAGCTTAACATCCATTTTATTGATGAAGAAAGAGGTGAGACTTTTTTTACCACCTGTGTGTCTTTGCTGAAATGTTTATTGTAATCTTTTGGTGAGCTTTTAACTAGTGTGTTATCTTGCCATCAAGCTTTGAGTTTCTTATGATGTCTGTCTGTCTGTCTGTCTGTCTGTCTGTCTGTCTACCTACCTACCTACCTATCTTGCTAAGACATGATTTGCAAATACTATCTCCCAGTCTTCTGACTTATCTCTTAATTCTCTTAGCATATCTTTTCCTTCCTTTCTTTCTTTCTTTCTTTCTTTCTTTCTTTCTTTCTTTCTTTTTTTTTTTTCTTTTTGTATTTTAGGGAAGGGTCTACAATGTGTTCAGGGTCTTACTACTAGATGAGACTTGTAGTGATCCACCTGTTTACAGCCTCCCAAGAGCTGGGATTACAGGTGCATGCCACCACGCCCAGTCTCAGTTGCCATCTCAGTGCGCCTTGGGGGCAAACTGTTCTAGCTTTTTGGATGTATGGTACATATCGTGTGTGACTCTAACATGCAATAGTACTCCCAAGCTTCTTGCTCCTGTATCCTACATAATTTTGAAGAATTGAAGAGAATACTAAGCCATCATAGTTCCTCAAGCTTCTGCTTTTTTTTTTTTTTTTACCATTCTTCTGTCATTCATAAGATGTCAGTTTCTTTTTGATGTCCTTTCCCTTCTTCATGAAGAACTTCCTATACCTCATCTTGCAGACCTCATCTCCTTACAACAAAGTACCAGTTTTACTTTGCATCAGTTTTTGTTTTGTTTTTTTTTTTTAGGGAAGGGTCTATTGGGTGTTCAGGGTCTCACTACTAGATCAGACTCAGTGATTCTCCTATTTACAGCCTCCCAAGTGCTGGGATTACAGGCATGTGTGACAATGCCCAGTCTCAATTTGCATCAGTTTTGAAAGACAGTCTCACCAGATATGGATATCCTGGCTTGAAAGTTCTTTTCTTTCAACCTTTAAAAACCATCATTTTCCCATGGTAAAACAAGTATACCAAAGATCTTCAGGGTCTTTGATGAGAAATCCTTATCACCCAAATGATTTTTTTTTTATGTATCAACTTTTTTTTATATAGCTAAGAAAGGCCTCACATCTGTATCTTGTTTCTTTGTCAAATTGTGGTGCTCTACTGATGTGTAATTTCCTAACTTTCTCGTTTTTTTAGGGAAAGTGTTTTTAGCATTTATCTTAAGTCAAATACCTGTTTCAGTATTGTCTTCTAAGTTTTGAGTAGTACCTATCAGCCTCCTTCCAATTTTCCTGCCTTGAATTAGGTTCCAAATTTAGCATATTGTAATATGGACTAAATTTTGGTATCTGATTCTCCCTCTCATAGCTGTTTAAAATAAGCTTGATTTGAATAAAAATGTTTCTGAACTGAAAGCACAATGCAGATTGAGATTTTGGACAGTGGGTACCTAACAGCTGTTCTTTAAGATCTTATCATCAAGGAGTATACTCCTCACTACTTCAGTAAGTTCTGGTTTGTGCTCTATCTCCACTCCAGGGCCACCAACCCAGTCTTTCCTATTGGGATCTGGGAAAGGGAGGGCAGATGTGTGCATCTGGCATACTACGCATATGTTTGGTGTTACAGACACCCGTGACATTCAAGGATGTGCTGGTGGACTTCACCAGGGAGGAGTGGAAGCTGCTGGATGCTGCTCAGCAGATCATGTACAAAGATGTGATGCTGGAGAACTATAAGAATCTGATTTCCTTGGGTAAGACTAACTTTCATTTTTGCAGCTGTGATTACTGTGGAACTTTGGCTCTTCATGGTTCAGAAGATGCAGATCTTGGTTAGGGAGATAGCTCAACAGTATAAGCACCGGCTGGCAGGTGGTTTGGTCTCTAGTACTGAATGCTGTGCTGGCCCTGTAATCCCAGGTGTGCTGTGCCAGCCACCAAAAGTGGACATGGTGGCGCACAGTGCTGAGGAGGCTGAGACAGAAGGATTGCTATGCATCTGAACTGTGTACTGAGACCCCATAATGAAAAAATATTTTTAAAAAGATATAGATATTGAAGTATGTATCAGAGTATAGGTGTGGGGTTCAGTGACCTAGTTTCTTTGAGCATAGAGCAGGGTTTTGTACTCCTGCTTTTATGGAAAAATAATTTATTGCGTTTTTAAAAATGTATGTTTCTTTTTGTTACTCTGCATCCTCCGATTATCCACTTTCCCCATGCTGTGGAGGGTTGGATCTTTTCTGAAGCCCTCCTGCTCTGAACCATGGTCTTTCGTCGTGAACAGGACATCAGCTTCCTAAGCCAGATGTGATCCTGCAGTTGGAGAACGAGGAGGAGCCCTGGCTGATGGAGAAAGGAATTTACCATGGGACACATCCAGGTGAGACCAATAGGAGCTGTCCCAGGGGGTGGCCCAGATGGCTCACGGGGTGCTAGAGCCTCTGGCTGTCCTCACAGGTCTTTGTTTCTGACAGAGGGGTGAGTTTATCTACCTTCTGTTTCTAGGTCTCCAGTCTCCTTTCTGTATTCCTGTAATGCACACATTTGCATGCAGAGACAAATGTACTTTACCTCTTCATTAAAATTGTCTTTCTATTGATACCTTTTGTAATGGCCGGGATTGGATATATTGCCCACAGAAGACCAAATTGAAGGAGTTACAAAGCCTTTATTAGTTTAGCCGGCAACCAATGTACTTCCCCCTCCAAACTGGGAAAACACAAAAGACCCAGTTCTTTGTTCCTTACCAGCTTATATAGTTTCTCTGTTACTATGGTGCTCAGGAAGGAATGTGGTACCCCATGTATCCTGCAGGTGTGGGGTTACATCAGGTGTGTGATGCCCCCTGTATCCTATAGGTGTGAGGTCTCGAGCAAAAGGATTTGTGGCTAAGCATGGGTAAATGGTCTGGCTCTTATTGCCCTTAATTAGTCCTGTCTCCTCATCTCCTACATGTTTTGAAGATTTGATAGGGCAGGGGAAGGAGTAAGGGATGAGGAAATTTAGGCAAGGCTAAAAGGGAAGGTGGTTTGGCCCAGATGTCTTCTATACAAATACTTTAGGCAGGGATCAAACTACATTGAATTCTGCCTCAGTCTCTCTTACTTTTTTTTTTTTTTTTTCAATTTTATTGAGAAACAGATAGCAATGAGACAGTTTCAAATCTGATTAGTAGGGTAGTTTCAATAATTAATACACTGCATATTGTTGTCTTAGTTTTGTTTTTTTGTTTTTTTTCCAGAACTGGGGATTGAACTCAGGCCCTTGTACTTGCCAGGCAAGTGCTTATTCTACTGAGCTATCTCCCTGGCCCTGGTCTCTCTTACTTCTAAGGTGAATAGAAGATTATGCTAGATGCCATCCTTTACACTTTGTTTCAGTAGTATTTTTTTTCCCTGATATTTACCTTGAATTGTAACATCCACACTCTCTCATATATGAAGAGTATTTATGGGAATCATGTCTGGTGTCTTTTTTGTTTCTCGTGTGGCCCTTTCCTATAGCTCAGCTTATTCCTGGAATTTCAGCAGGGAGATTTTGTCATTTGGCCTGTTCTTTGTAAAACTGCTACAAAGAGCCTGTAGGTTCCAACTGGCTGGACTCTGCTTCTGTTATAGAATTGTAACTCTCAAAAGTACCTGCATTTCCCACTATAGCTCATCATTTAATATTTTTTTCACTTACTCACTTTTTAAAAAAGTGTATTTGGTTGCTGCAGGGTCCCACCACACAGCTTGGACTCATGGTGAACCTCCTGCTTTCAGCCTCCCCAGCGCTGGGATTTCAGGCATGTGCCACTACGCCTGGACTGTGGCCAGCTCAGCTTGCCCTGGGGTTGGGTTGGTGTGGCATATGGTGCCAGGGATCAAACCACAGTCTGTAGGATAAACAGAAGTCCTAGCCAGCTCTCTACATAACAATACAAGGAAATAGGGTCAGGCTCAGTCAGAATGGAGACAGTCGCTCTTCTTTCAAGGAGAGCTGCTCAGGTGGTCCTCTACAACAGTCCCTGCGCTTGCCTAAGTTTGCCTAAGCAGACACTAGTCCACTGAGCTATATTGCCAGCCTATTTATTTATTTATTTATTTATGGCAGAACCAGGGATTGAACTCAGGCTCTCTTGCGCTGCCATGGAAGTGCTTATTCCACTGAGCCACCTCCTCAGCCCCTCCCCACATTTTTTTAATGTCATCATTCCTAAAATTTTTTCCCAAGTTGCATGTGTGTATCTATGCATGCAAAATACTAGCTTTCTTAGATAAACAATAGGGAGTCATCTCTCCATTTCCACTCCTTTATTCTCTGTAAGCACTCTTCTGCTGTTTCACAACATGGCCTTGGCGTCCCTCTCAGCATCTTAGAAGCTGTTGTCTGCATCATATTGCCGACAACCCACTGCTTGCTGTGTGGGACAGCCAGGCAGGACCTGTGCCAGTGACCCCATGTATGTTCACATGGCATGTGTAGCCTCCAAGCCCAGTGTAGTCCGGCCATCCTAGAGTGATCTGCCGTTGGTTCTTTTTATTCCTTCAGAATCTAATGGGCACGGTGTCAGGCTTTTCCCTGCATCTCAAGTCGTCCCAGCCTTACTTTTCCCATGAGTTTACTTTCAGGTTCTTTCTTAGTGAAGCCATATATGACCTCAAATACAGGCCTGTTCCCTGTCTGAGCTTCTATTCAGGTTGTCTCTATTTTGAAATATCATAAGACACTTTTGAGATTTTTACATTTGATTTTCAGGTATGTGATTATATTAAAATTTTTTATCGAAGGCAGGTCCTTTAGTATCATACTAATGAGAACATGATCTGTCAACTGCTTTGGGCCCTGGGAGGGAAGATTGTTTTAGTAACCCTCCTGCCTTGTTGCCTTCCTGCCTTCTATGCCTTCCATTTTGTGTTCCATTCATTCAGCAGACTTTCCTGGATGTCAGATGACAAGTCTGTAAAAGTAACAATCATTAACTAGGTCCAGCAGTTTATATTTTTACTGTAGCATTGTGGTCAAAAGACATAATGAAGCCCCAAGTGTTTAAATGCATGGGATTTAGAGAATTCTACAAGTCCCTGTGAACTTCAATATCTAAATGAACAGGATGAAGACAGTGAGTTGATTGATGGGTGCTGCAGAGTTCAACAATAGTATATTCGTGTTTGTGTTTTATGGTAAATTGGAGTTTTTTTTTTTTTTTTTTTTTTGTGGAACCAGGGATTGAACTCAGGCCCTTGTGCTTGCCAGGGAAGCACTCATTATACTGAGCCATCTCCCCGGCCCCAAGATTTTTGGATTCTAGTGAAAGAAAGCATCCCCTCATGCCTCCAGCAGTTTCACAGCCTCTCCTCATGTTTATTTTAAGTCTTCTACTTGGGATTTGTAATTTAAAAACTTCTTTATGGGATTCTCTGTTCTTTTGGACAGAAGTGGAAAGGGTAAAATCATTAGGATAGTGTAGAAAAATGGAACTAACTAAGTTAGGAATGAGAATTAGAGCTGCTGGGCTGCAATTGTGCAAGGTAGTTAGTCAAGATCATGGTCTGGCACAGAGCTTATTCATCAGGTGTATTGGTTTCTGTGAGCTGCGATATGAAAAGTATTGGGGTGGTGTAATGCCTTGTGTCTAGTTGTCCCCCCCAAAGTCTCATGCAGTCATTGAGTGGCTTCTAGAGTTTGTGATTAATTCATGATCCAGTGTGGGGATTATGGGTGTGAGTGCTACACCCACCCAGGGGTGGATAGCCTGAATATGATATAAGGAAGGAAGAGAGGCTTGCTCGCTATCACAGCAGCTGTTCCTTCCTTTGCTCTTTGCTTTTTGCCACAACTATAACTGCTTCCCTCTGCGATGTGCTGTTCTACCTTGGAGCCAGCTGAGTATGGACTGAAACCTTGACAAACTGTGAGCTAAAAAACCTTTCATTCCTTAATATTGGGTGTCAGATATCTTGTCCCAGCAACAAGAAAAAAGTAACTGAGACAATTTGGTGCTGAGAAATGGGGTTGTTGCTATGATTATACCTGACTATGTTTTTCAAGAGCCTTTGGGAATGGCTTATGGGAAGAGATAGAAAAGATTTGGAGATGTCACCTGAAAGAAAAGCACTGGAATGCCTTCAGTTGTTCTGTATGGGAGATTCTGGTCAGAGCTTAGAAGACCAGAATGCTCATAGAAATCCTGCCTGTAAAGACCAGGCTGGGGAGGTTTCTCTCTCTCTCTCTTACTTGCTTTCTTTCTGTTTTTAATTTTTGCAGAACCAGGGATTGAACTCAGGCCCTTGTGCTTGCCAGGGAAGCGCTTATTCCACTGAGACATCTCCCCGGCCCAGGGGAGGTTTCTTCTGGGAAAGAGTACTATATTGGTTGTTGGACTCCAGATGATGTATATTGACAGAAAATTTGTCTGCATGTTGCTTGTGTCTAAAGACTGCCTGAGACTGAGATTAAGTGTGGCAGACTGGTTAATCTGGCAAAAGAAATTTCAAGGCAGTTGAATGTTGAGGCACTGCCATGGTGGTTGTTGGGGCTTTTTAGTCAGATTTATGTTCAGAATCAAGAGCAAAGAACCCAGCAGAATTTCTTTCTTTTTTTCTTTTTCTTTTTTTAAATTAATTTTATTGAGAAACCAAGAGCAATGAGACAGTTTCAAAACTGATTAGTAGGACAGTTTCATTAATTAATACATTGCATATTATTGTTTTCATAGGGGCTATACTTCCCTTTGCTTTTTTTTTTTTTTTTTTTTTTGTAGTACTGGGGATTGAACTCAGGACCTTGTGCTTGCCAGGCAGGCACCTATTCTACTGAGCTATCTCCCTGGCCCTAGGATTTTTTAAAAACATTGTGAGTTCAGCCAGAAAGGAAGCATCAGTAAAGCTGTGGACCGCAAAGATAGAGCTGAGAGGGTCTCCACTGGTGAGAAGGAATAAAAGAATACAAAAGATGGCCTGAGGGCATCACAAGAAGCAGCAAGTCTCTACGCTTTGCAGCCTCAAAACTGCAAAAGTGAAAGACTTTCCTTTGAGGAGAATGCTGTGGAGAGACATGTTTCAGAATGGTGGAGGCATAGAGAATTTTTTCCTCAGAATCAGGGTCAGAGTGCTCAGCCATCCAAGTACTTGAACCCTACAGCCAAGAGAGAAGAAAACCTGGCTACTGATCCAGCTGGCAGCAGACCTTGGCATCATCTGTATGTCACTGGCTTTAGGCACATGAAAAATGCAAGACATTCTGAGGCTAAGAAAGCTTCCACTTAGATCTTAAAAGGCTTGGGAGTCCAAGCAGTGTGCCTCCGGGAGGGCGGTGTGTGAAGTTGTGAGTGTGAAGTGTATAGTTCAGTGGAGACCCTAGAAGTTTGGAAAAGCCAGGAACATGGATCACCTAAGGAAAGTTGCAAGGAGGAAGCTTATTAGGCCCATCAGAGAGGCTATGGGAGCTACAACCCCCAGAAGTGCCATAGGGGCAGAGCCATGTAAGGCTTTTGGAGCTCACAGCTCATCAGAGATTGTATCAGATGTCCACCTGCTCTCCTAGGTTTTGGACTTGCTTTGGTCTCAATGCTTTGTATCCCATTTGTAACTTTTGCAGTGGTAATGTTTATCTTGTGCCATTGAATGTTGGGAGTGTTTAACTTTTCATTTGTACATGAACTCATATCTAAGAGTTTGCCTTAACTTTTGGAGGAAACTTGGGAATTGGGCTTTTCATCAGTGCTGAAACTGTTAGGGCTTTGGAAACTCTTACAGCTGGACTAAACTGCCTTTTGCATGAAGGGATGTGCATGAATCTTTGGGGTCCAGGGGCAGAATGTTATGGTTTGTGTCTAGTTGTCCCCTCAAAGCCTCATGCAGTCACTGGGGTGGCTTCTAGAGTTTGTGTTTAATTCATGATCCAGTATGGGGATTATGGGTGTGCTGTATCCACACTGGGCTGGATAGCCTGAATACAATATACAGAAGGCAGAGAGAGCTTTGCTAGCTGTTGCAGCTGCTGTTTCTCTCTTTGCTTTTTTCTTTTTTCTGCCACCATGAACTCTTGCCCTCTGCCATATGCCACTCTACCTTGGAGCCAGCTGAGTATGGACTGAAACCTCGACAAACTGTGACCTAAATAAACCTTTCCTTCTTTAATTTTGTGTGCTGGGTATTTTGTCCCAGCAATGAGAGAAATAACTGAGAAAGTCAGAGATATAGCCCAGTGGCAAAGCACCTGCCTGGCAAACATAAGGTTATGAATTTGATTCCAAGTACATTAAAAAAAAGAATATTGAGTATCTCTACTGAAAATCTGAAATAAAATGCTACAAAATCTCAAACCGAGTACTGTTATGCCACAAGTGGAAAGGCCCACACCTCATTGCATGTGACTGATCAAAATCTAAATGAAGGTGCACAACACACATTTTTTTCAGTCTCCAAGTGAAAAAGAAGACCCTTCCACCCTCTTAAGCTGTGATAATATCTTTTCTATGCATTTCCATATTGTCCTTCACAAACACATTCATCAGGATGCCCACTCTGTGTACAATGATGGCAGTGTTGCATGTATTTCCTACAGAGACTTAGAGTAAGCATCTGTCTTCAGTCTGAGAAAGTGGTGACAGTGCAAAGAATGACTAGGTTGGCAAATGATTGAGTTCATCAGGGGCGACTTACAGAGCAGTTGTGTACTTTGAGATTGAAGCACTACTGCGGCTGCCAGTCCCTCTGTGCTAAATGGGTGCCATTGTAGAGCACTGAATAAAACAGCAAAAGCAGGATCAAAAGCAGGAAGGGTTCTTGGGAAGAGTTGTACTCCCTTCCTGTCCTGGCCTTAGTGGGAAAGCCTGCCAGCGGCACTGGTGAATGACCTCGTGTTGCAGTCTGGCAGACTGTTTCAGGATCTGATGTACCACAGATAGATGTGTACCACAAGGTTGAGTTACTTTGGTTAGGGTGCAGAAGCAAGTTCTTAGTGTGATTGGGTTCCCCATATTCTCTACATGGGGCCAAGATCTAAGTAAATTCCTGTGATTTTTGCTTATTTTCTGTTCTGTGGTGTAAAGATACTGAAAACATCACAAAAAAGTTTGCAGATACTCCTGTGGATGTAATAAGAAAAAGAGGAAGCATTTGTACTTACAACACAGAAGATCAAGCTGCTTAAGAAACTAAATGGTAATATAAGCATGAACTACCTTACACAAAGGTCTGGTGTTGAAATGACCTGCAGAAACAGAAAGATAAATTGTTGAAGCTTTGCATTGAAAGTGGTGAACAGAAGTTAATGAAAAGTATAAAAACTGAAAATACATAAATCTAAAAATGAAGACTCCCGCAGCATATCAAAAGGATGCATCAGCATCAGTGAACATGTGCCACTAAGTGGTTTGCTGACCATGGAAAACTGTGAAATAATACATTGGTTCAAGGTGTTTTGTACATCCTTAATCTGACACTCACCAGCAGTAGTGCTTATGTCATGTACTGTCCTCACATCTGATTCATTATTTGTTATGTCGGTACAGCATCTTACTGTCACTCAAGAGTATTTGTAAAGGACTTTCTTAAACAGTGTGCTAGGGCTGGAGAGATGGCTCAGTGGTCTAAAGCACCTACTTAGAACAAGCTTAGCAAAGCACAGGGACCGCGGTTCAATCCCCAGCACCACATGCCAGCCACCCCTGCCCCCTGGTGGGCTGAGCTGGCCACACACACACACAAATAAATAAATAAATAAAATAAAAAAAAAATAAACTTAAACAGTGTGCTAGCAGCAGTGATCAGATACATGAGTGTGGAAGATTTTCAGATGGAGTTTAGCACAATGATATATTCTAGGTTTTTTTTTCTTTTACTCTTTTTGTTGTTTTTCAAGGTTCCAGTGTATGTCATGTCTTACTGCTAAGTACTTATGTGTGAGTTAGAATAAGAAAATGATTGCTTATCAGAAGCTTACAAATTCAGGAACCACGCATGGCAGTGAGTGTTGTGCAGAGGTGGTACCGCAGCCAGCGAGGGCCTTCTGAGGTGACTGCTGCTCATTGAAAGAACAACAGCAGGCACAGCATAGAGCAGGCGGCTGAGTGCTGGTGTGAGGCCCTTGCTCCCTCATGGTCCAGGGTGTGCAGTCTTTGTCATGCACAGAATTACTCAAAATACTGCAGAAAGTTTTATTCAGGCTATATGTATAAAGTATAAATGAAACCTCAATTAATTTTGTGCTTAATTTCGGTCCCATCCCAAAGATCATCTCATTATTATATGCATGTATATATTTTAAAGAGAATTAAAAATCTAAAAAGAACTATGGAATTTCAAAATACAATGATAGAAAAGTAAATGATTGTTATATTGCATATTGTTATCTTCAAAGTAGTTACTCAGATTACCAGATATAGGCATGTAATTTTGATCAAATAATATCAGTACTAACTGTTCCTTTCAATGAATGACTGATGCTCTAAAACTTAAAACTACACAGACAAACACTCGGGGTTGACAAGACTATGCCTGGGCAGCAGCAGCTTCAACCAATAAAAAAAAAGAGTAGGAAAGAGACCCCTGGAGTCTGACCCATATTCGCCTAGGCTTTTTGCCTCTCTGCTAATTTGTTTCTCAATTTTTTTGTATACAGTGTTTCATAACTAATGTAGAAAAGAACATTATTTATGCAGCACCAATTCTTTTTACATAAACGGGACTGTGCTGTATCCTCCAACAAAGATACAGTTAAGCCCTCATCCTCAGTATCTCATAATGCGGCCTTTGAAAGTAAGATCAATGCAGATGTCATGGATGGGGATTGCCCTAATCCAACAGGACTAGTGTCCTTGTAACAAAAGAGAAGACACGCAAACAGACAGAGTTGCCATCTGAAGATGGGGGCTGAGACTGGGATGACACATCCACAAGTCAAAGTTTGTGGGGTTACCAGATACTCACCTAGAGGTTTACGTGCCCTTTTTATTATTGTAATTGTTTTTAATCTTGATGTCTATACAAGTCATTTTTTTCTCTATAACAAAACATCCACCATAAATAAATAACTTAAAAAAGATTTGTTTTGACTGAGAGTTATGAATTTTTCAAGCTATAAATTATTGCTATCCCTCTTAGGTCAGACCTGTGGCCTTTCTGTACTGTTTTTGTGCCTTTTGTGTGTATAGTCCCTCATGCACTTATTGCTTACTGCTCCATCTGTCCCTTTGTCCTTATTCATTGAGATTATTAAACCATACTTGAAAACAGCCCTACATGGGTTTTTGTTCTTTGGCTCCACATACATTCTATCATTTTTTACACTAATCCTTTGTTTAATTATACAAAGCTTTTTCTTTTCTTTTAGATTCAGACACGACAGCTGAAATTAAATCATCAGTTTCCAGAAAGAGCATTTCTAAAGACAAACAATCCTTTGACATTAAAATGGAAGGGGTCTCAAGGAATGATCTTTGGTATTTGTCACTAGAAGATGTCTGGAAATGTGACAAGCAGATGGGCAAATATCATGGTAGCCAAGAAAGACATATGAGGCAAGTGGCATTCACCCAGAAGAAAGTACTTATTCAAGAGAAAGCCTGTGAAAGTGGTAAATATGAAGAAAGCTGTCTTCTCCCTGCTCAGCTAGTACTGAGAGAGTATTTCCATAGACGTAGCTCACATGCTAAAAGTTTAAAGCATGATTTACTGTTTAATGGGCACCAGGAAAACTGTGCAGGTAGCAGTAATGAATGTGGCCAAACTTTCTATCAAAACATTCATCTTATTCAATTTGCACGAACTCACATTGGAGATAAATCCTACCAGTGCTCTGATAATGACATCTCTCTTGCTTCTGTTGCATGCCTTGATGCGTCAAAGGGTATGCACAGAGAGAAACCCTATGAATGTAAGGAGTGTGGAAAATTCTTCAGCTGGCGCTCTAATCTTACCAGGCACCAACTTATTCACACTGGAGAAAAGCCCTATGAATGTAAAGAATGTGGAAAGTCTTTTAGCCGAAGTTCCCATCTAATTGGACATCAAAAGACTCACACTGGTGAGGAGCCATATGAATGCAAAGAGTGTGGGAAGTCCTTCAGCTGGTTTTCGCATCTTGTTACCCACCAAAGAACTCACACAGGTGACAAACTTTACACATGCAATCAATGTGGGAAAGCGTTTGTACATAGCTCCCGGCTTATCCGGCATCAGAGGACTCACACTGGAGAGAAACCTTATGAGTGTCCTGAGTGTGGGAAGTCATTCCGACAGAGCACACATCTCATTCTGCATCAGAGAACACATGTCAGGGTGAAGCCCTATGAATGTAATGAATGTGGGAAGTCTTACAGTCAGAGGTCTCACCTTGTTGTGCACCACAGAATTCACACTGGACTGAAGCCTTTTGAATGTAAAGATTGTGGAAAGTGTTTTAGTCGAAGTTCTCATCTTTTCTCACATCAGAGAACCCACACTGGAGAGAAACCATATGAATGTCATGATTGTGGGAAATCCTTCAGCCAAAGTTCTGCCCTCATTGTACATCAAAGAATTCATACTGGAGAGAAGCCCTATGGCTGTTGTCAGTGTGGCAAAGCCTTCATTCGGAAGAATGATCTCATTAAACACCAGAGAATTCATATTGGAGAGGAGGCCTATAAGTGTAATCAGTGTGACATTATCTTTAGCCAGCACTCTCCATTTGTTGTCCATCAGATAGCACATACTGGGGAGCAGTTCCTCATGTGTAATCAGTGTGGTACAGCACTAGTTAGTAGCCGCTCTCTTATTGGATACCAGACAAATCACCTGAGAAAGGCCGCTTACTAGTGCAAGGAATACAGAACATGCTTCTCTAAGAACTGTAATTTTACATTGGAGAACTTCTCATGGAGAGAAGTTGTGCAGATGGAATATGTGTGGAAATGCTTTCAGTCTTGTTACTACCCTATTGCATTCTATCAAATTCATCCAGGGGGGCACACATTTCATTCCAGGACATAAATATATTAGACTTTCCACAAACTCCCACTAAAGTTCTTGGCCTGGGTACATGCTTGACTAAGGCTTAAATGCTAGTTTCTGAGAAGAAAGTGTTAAGTAGGTGAATTGTTGAGTGATAATACATCTTTATTATTCAGAGAGCTAAGTGGATATGGCAGGGTAGTCAAATATATTGTTGAGAATAAAATATAGTTACTGTAGCAATAGATAGTAAAATTCCAGTGAATTAATGTGCCACTGTGTACTTGATTGTGCTTGTCTTCTAGATACTTAGAGTTCAGGGATTTTGTTTATTTGTTTGTTTCTTATATGAATTACATTCTGGATAATAGGGTAATCTCTATAAAACCATTCATACATCCACACTACTAGTAATATTCATTTTAAAAATATATTTGCATGTGGGCAAGAATTGAGGAAATAGTATATATATATATAAATGAGTCAAACCGATTTGTTAGATAATGGGACTATGAATGAGTATTCCAGCATATTCGGTATTGATGAACTAGTTAAGGCATTCAAAAACACTCAAGAAGGATATCTAGTTTCTTTTTCTTCAAAGACGCTTAACCACCTGCTACAAACTTTCCTATTGTGAGCTGTTTGGTGTCATAGAATTCTACTTTAGAGAGATGAGGATAAAGGCTCCTGAGAATTTGAAAGTAGTACTTCTCTGTAAGTGGAGAATGAGGGGAGGTTGAACATGTGGACACATGGTTGGATAGGGGTCTGTTTGAGATCAGGAACCTATGCAGTATTTGCAGCAGATGTGCTCATGTGTTAAGCAAAACATTGCTCAAGAACAGTGCTTCTTCCTTGGGGATGGTCTTTCATCTTTATAAAGGAAAGACACAGTTGAAATACTGCTTTAATCCCTTGGTAACCTAGTGATCATGTGCATCTGCTGGGCTTCTCTGTCCTAAACTAAAGATAAGCTCTTTTGAACATTAGAGGTAATGGTAGCACTTATGGCATGATTGTGGTCAGTGTCAAGTGAGTAAACATAAACAGTTTGGCATATGCCAAATTCTTTATCATTATTAGTTGTGTTTGTTCATATTCTTGTTGTCCACCCTGATGTCTGTCCTTTGTCTCTAATCTGCTTCTGTTTATTGAGCTCTTACTTTCTATTTTTTAAATTTTTTTTAAACTTTATTTGTGTGTGTGTGGCCAGCTCAGCCCACCAGGGGGCGGCACTGGCTGGCATGTGGTGCTGGGGGATTGAACCGTGGTCCATGTGCTTTGCTGAGCTTGTTCTAAGTAGGTGCTTTAGACCACTGAGCCATCTC